TCAGAACATTTAAAGGATTCATTCAAAGTTGCATGTCTAATATTTTGTGGGACAAAATAGAGAACCCAGGACTCCTGCCTCCTGATGCATTGTGGGTAGATCTAAGCATTTTAGAAAGATTTATGCCGTTGAATATGTTTAACACCTAAAGTATACATTGATGACAAAACAGTGTGCTCATTAGAAGTATATATATATGTATATACATATATATGTATACACACACACACACACACACACACACACACACACACACACAGATAGATAGGTAGATAGATAGATATGCAGGAAAGGTATGAAAAGAATGCACACCGAAATGCAAATGGTGGGCATACGGCAGAGGGCATTTGAGAATGTGAATGATTTTGTCTTTCTTGTGCTTACTGTTTTTCCAGGTTATTAGCATTCATTGGCTATAAGCTTTGTAATCAGGAAAAAAATTATACAAGCAAAGCAGAAATAACTCTAACAGCAAGAATGAAACCCCAACATCTCTTGAAATTCTTATTTTATTTACACCATGTCATGATTTAAATGATCGGCTCCTCTAAAACTCATGTTGAAATTTAATTGTTATAGTAACAGCATTAGGAGGTGGGGCCCTAAGGAGGTTACTGGGTCACGAGGGCTCCACCCTCACGGGTGGGGTTGGTGCAAGTATAAAAGGATGAGTCTGGCACCTCTTGTTCCTGCTCACCCTCTTGCTTCCCACCGTGCGGTGATGTCACAAGAAGGCTGTCACCGGATGCCCGCACCTTGGTCTTGAACTTCCCAACCTTCAGAACTGTGATCTGGTCAATTTCTGTTCATTGCAAATTACTCAGGCTTAGATATTCTGTGATGGCAGCACAAAATGGACTAAGATATACTGCTTTACATTTTCCAGACAATTATTATTTGGAGTCTTAATGAGCTCCCATAGAACCTTGTACATACTCCAATCTCTTACATTGTTGCACTTGAATTCTTTATTTAGGCATCAGTTTCCTAACATATCTATAAACTATTTTTATCCAGGGTACCTCACATAGTGTTGTCTTAAAGATATTTGTTGAATGACATATCCATAGAGATTCTGACTTTAGAAATAGCATTTCTAAGGACCACTTCTAGTTCAAAATTACTAAGACGATTTACAGTGTTCCTTTTCTATACTAGTGAATTATTTTGTATATTTGTATTCTGTTCTGTATTCTATCTCTAGCCAATATTTCTTATGACTCCAATGGTTTTCCTTTTTATGTTAAAACCCTCGTAACCCACATTTAGCATTGCTATCCTCTATCAAACAATATTTCATATGTAAAAGAATTTAATCATCATCCTCTGAATAATGCCTCTAGGAAATTTGACCACACTGCCCCTTAACATGATTTCATATCGTAAGTGGGCTTCAGGAACATTTTAATAATGTACTGAAATAGTTTATAATCTAAGTTTCAAGACTCCTCTCAGAAAGTTTTGTGCCCATTTCCTTAGCAGAGCTGTAAATGAAAATTTAAAAAGCAATGAAAAGTGTGTGAACTAGTAGACAGCCTCTCGGTGCTTCCCTGTACAACACACCTGCCAGCTTCTGATGACTTCTGTGTGCCTGGCTTGAGTGGTGGCAGAGGCTAAAGCAGCCTGGTGCCTTTTATCAGCAGCCTCCCAATAAACAGAAACCTGCAGAATGCTTCAAAATAGGCACGTGGTCAGATTGAGAGGGGAAGAATTAGTGGTACTGAACAATGCATCTCAGAGAGAAAGTATCAGGAAGTGATTCCATAAACAGAGAAGCCACTCAGCTTCTAACTGCCAGCCATTCTCAGGAGTGTGAACTGTAGAGGACAACATTGGAAGTGGATGACTGGTGGCCCCATTGAATCCATGCCCTCCACATTCTTCTCTTTTCTGCTCATATACCCCTCTAAATAATCACCAGTTAAAACTGAGGGTATATTATAGCATCAACTGACATAGTTTTAATCACGAAAAAAATATCCAGGCTTTCTAGGTCTCAACTATAAAAATAATGATAGTAACAAGAATAGGAATAACAACAATTATTATTTATTGAGGATTCATTCCATCTCAGGTACTATTCTAAGTGCTTGACACGTGTTACTTCTTTGTATAAAATGCTTTCCTCACACAGTTTGTAGTTCGAGTTAAAAGAAATGACCCAAGAAATTTCTTAACACAAGGCCATACCAATAATTCTGAGTTCTCAAAAAAAGAGCTATTTTGCTATTGTTACTATAGCTAATAATAGTAATAACAACAGAGCTAATAATAAGTGCTGTCTGTTCCAAATAAAACTCTAAGAGGCTTTTTAAACTTTTTGGTTCATAGATGAGGTAACATCTGTGTAACATCCTAAAATTATCCACAATTTAGTTCAGTGCCTGACACAGCTTGAGATCAACAAATATTTATAAAAATATGTAATATCCTAAATTGTATGGACGTGTTTGTAAGTAGATTTCGCAGAGATGAGAGTATGTCGTTTTCTTTGGATTCTCAAAATAGTTCATGATCTAAGAAATAAAGAACCACTAGGTCAAAAGAGAATTTGTCACCATATGAGTAACAAAGGCCAATGAGAATAACGAGGAAATGGGAAGGAGAGATGTGTGTGGCGCTGGCTCCATGAGGGAGTTTGGGAAAGTTTCGTAATGCTGTCCATGGGGCTATGATGGCAGTACTGGAATGTTCCCTCTTCCCACCTGAAAATTCCCCTTTGCCCTCTGAGGTCATTTATATTAGACTCTATGGAATTACTAGCTGCTTGAATGGAGTGATTCCATGATAGTTTCGTTCTGGTTTTGTAGGAATCATAGAATGTTAGCACCAGAAAGAACCTCATCCTCAACCTATTTCAGGGCTTTCAAATTTGTAGATGTGTCACCATTCCCCTTCCTACACTCATGGAAGTCATCTCTAGTTCTTCACCTCTCTTTTGCCTTTTGAATCCTTACTATGATATCATTTGCAACCATTACCAATGGATTGAAATCAGCGTGCACAGGGATAACAGTTTTCATCAGTGTCATACGTCCAGTATTCTCCCACTACAGTTAAGAAAACCAAGGTGATGACATTTGGTATGTCTGTGGATTAGATCTGAACTCTGTGAGGTGGGTGACATGAAAATTTTGAGACATGAATGTTGTGACTTTACAAACATTTATGTACCAAATACCATCTCTGCCTCTGTTGTTATTTTTTAGAATAAAGAAGGAAATATTTTTAAGTGATCATTCACCTTTTTCCAACACACAAGTCTAGAAGGCAGGGCCCTGAGTGATGAAAATAAATTATAAAGGATTTTAAGTATTGTTCCATATCTTGTTCTTTTTTATTTTAGACAATATGATAGTTAAGCAAAGGCTGAGGTCAGGATATTCTCATCTCTCAGTATCCTTGAAAAAAAGCAGTCTAGGTAAATCCTGTACTTAAAGAGAACTTGGGACTGTTACAACTGCCTGAAAATAAGTCATTTAGCTTTTCTCAGCCTCAGTTGCCCAACTATAACAGAAGGATAATGGACACTTCATAGGAATAGAAAACTTGGTTCTTCATGTATGGGAGAGGAAAAAAATGTATCTCTGTTGAGCAGAAGAATACGAACACTTACTTATTTTTCCATATGTATGTGTGTGTGTGTCAATGCACATATGTGAAAGGAAGGTGTATTTAAGGTGAGAGTGAGAAATGACTATGGAAAGGCATGTAATAAAGTGCATTTGCACCTTTTAAAGTCATTAATTAAATAGCACAGACCAGGTTTCATAATGAAGTGTCACTGTAGTCCTTATAACTTAGAGTGAAACGCTTACTCTGTATGATGAGGGTATGTAACATATGAGCCTCGTCATACACTTTTCCAGTTGCATTTATGAGAAAAACTGGATAAAATTCATGTTTTTAAGAAGACCAGCAAAGATAAAATGCAAAGTTCTGGCTGGCACAGGACAGATATATATATATATATATATATATATATTTTTTTTTTTTTTTTTTCTTGCGAAGATGGTAAGGGTGACCAGGGAGGGGAGAATTGTCAAATATGTAGCTATCCCTCTGCCTTCTTTATCATATGAGCTAAGTAGACTGGCTTAAATTCCATTTTTCTCTCTCCTTTTGCATGGGCCCCTTTTTGAAATACAGGAGTTACAGATGTAAATTAGAAAATAAGCCAGTATTATATGAAAACATATTTATTGGCTGAGTAATGAAACTTAGCTAAGGAGTTATTAGGACCAGAATTCTGCCTACTTGAAGTATAAGTTTCTAACAAGCAAACAGAAACAATACCCCCAAGTCAGAAAGAATACATCGGTAACCTAAATCATAGGCTCTTGGAGGTGGGTTCAAACAATCTAACTACTTCTTTGCAGTTTACTGTAGTACTATGACAAAGCATAGACATACAATGAGAGACACAGCAAATCAGCGTATCAACGTGCGTGTGCATCCACGACAAAGCTTGCACATCCGAGATGTGGACACTTGAACGTACACACACCCGGGAAATGCCTCAGAAATCTTCCTGCAAAAGATGATTGGCATATAATTTCTTGACAGTACTCTTACACAAAAACCCCAAAACAAACAAACAGCAACAACAACAAAAACCCCTCTCAGACCATGGTTAATAAATAAGAGAAAAAAGGAGAAGAAACAAGCAACTTGGGCCAGCGGCACGCAGGGCAGCACCTTGGACCTCATCTGAAAAACAGGCTGCTCTGACGGCCTTCAGAGCCCGAGAGAAGGCTGGAGCCTAAAGGGGTCACGCACTATTACCTTTGGGCATTTCCACATAAATCTCCAGGACGGGGAAGTTTAACCAGTCCCCACCACATACACTGTGTCCTTTTGGATGTGGCCGAAACAGGTATATCTACAGAGCTCGAAAGCCCTCCAGGAATGGTATGCCTTGACACGGTTCCTTCCAGGTGACACATCCTTAACAACCCCATAAATAACGCACAGAAACAAAACCATGGCACCTCTTTCTTTCTTTTGAAAGATGAGCTCAGATCGTCTCAAAGTGCAAATCTGGACGGAAGGCACGGCAGGCATGAGAGAAATGTGGCCCGTCTTCTGCCCCACCCCCACTGGGCCCGAACGGACCCCCTCGCCCTAGCCCTCGGGCCGTCCTCCTAGACTTTCAGATAGTCGTTTTTCAGCCGCCCTAGCCGGGTCCCATGGCTCCTGATGGCCAGGGCCAGCAGCTCGTACTTGTCCCTGAGCCCCACGGAGATGTCCCGCGTCTCCTTCAGCAGGGACCTGGTGTGCACCAGCATCCCCAGGAAGTCCTCGTTGAGCCGGCTGTCCTGCCGACCGTCCTGCTCCTGGCCCTGCTTGAACTTGCTTTCCAGCTCGGTGAGGGACTTGTCCGAGTTGGAGTAGGCGTCCCCGATCTGGTGGGACTCCCGCCGCAGGTACTTGCCGTAGCTCTCCTCCCCGTCCAGGTCGTAGGAGATGCTCTTGCTGATGCCCTCCAGGACGCGCCCGGCGTCCTCCACCTGGCGGCCCAGCACGGTGAACTCCTCCCGCAGGGTGAGGCTCAGCAGGGCGCTGCCGGCCTGGCCCCCCTCGCCCTGGGAGCAGCGCCGGGGGTCACTCACCCGGAAGAGCAGCTGGCACTTCTCGGGGTCGTCGTTCTCCTCGTAGTCCCCATCAGGCACGAAGTAGTGGTGCAGGGTCCCGTTGGACATCTCCGGGTACAGGGGGCCGTCGAAGTAGCCCTGACACAGGTGGCAGAAGAAACCCATCCAGAGGAACGGCAGGAGCACCATTCTGGCCTCTCGGGATGATCGGGGCACCAGGAGAAGATGTGTGGCCCGGCGCGGAGGAGGGGGTCCCCCCGGGGAGTCAGCGTCTCGCGTGGACTGCGCGCGCCTCGGCCCCAGCCGGCTTGCTGCACCCTGGCCCCCGGTCCCCTGCAGGCTTCATGTGGCTGTGCGCACCAGCGTCCGGGATGCGCGAGCCGCGCGCCGGGGGGCTGGAGCGCAGCGGC